TATCTACCTCGTCTGCTTATTACTAGTTCCCTAAGAACTCGTAATATTACTACACTGGGACTTCACTGTTTTTCCCTGCCAAAACCCATACCACTAACTATTCCTAGTTTAAAGTCCTAACTGCTCCCTCCACTGCAGTGCCAGTGCTACCACCCCAGACCTAGATAAGTGATCCCCATCCCTGGCATACATGTCATTTCTGCCATAGAAGAGGTCCCAGTTGTCAATGAATGTTACCTCATTTTCCTTACAGTATTTGTCCAGCCAGCATTGACACACAGATTGCCCTGGACAACCATTCATTTCCAACTCCTCTCCTTGGCAATACCACATATGACAGGTTCCCACCCTTACTCTAATTATTTCTATTGCTGACCTATACCTGCTAATCAGGTCTTCACCCTACGTCTGCCAACATCGTTGCCTCCAGCACTGAGACAGATAATAGGATTGCTCCCATTACCTCTCATGATGTCATCCAGACGACTAACAATATCCTCCATCCCAGCCCCAAGAAAGCAACTCTCTGTCTCCTTACTCCTGTCCTTCAAGCAGAACGCCCTATCCATATACCTAACTTGGCTATCCCCAACAACACATTCTACCTTCCTTAATGTCGTTCGTCGTGACGTTCCCAGTAGTCGACTCACATTCGTTGGGTAGCATGAGAATGTATTAGATGTTTCCACAACAGTTTCCACGGCAGTCTCTTCTTTTTCATCATTTCTATCTTTCATTCGTCTTCTTGATCGTCAACTTCGTTCCCTGCTGTCTAGTCACTGACCAGTTTCCCTTCTTGACCTGAGGACTCAAAACAGGAGGACTACTACGAATCTTCTTGTTTTCCTCGGTCAGTTGCCGAATCTCCAACTTCGCTATCCTCATTCTTCCTTAAGCTGTTGGTAAAGTTGCTCGATGGAGGGCATCTTGCTTCAATTCGTAGAGAGCGCGCAAACAGGTCTTCACAGAGCTAAGTACATGTCAACACTGCGCAAAAGCCAACTCAATCAGGAGCTACTGCGCAGCACGTCCGCACGGCCCAACAGCAATGCGGAAAGACCCTTTGTATGAAGCCATTTAAGCAAACTTAAGTCTTTCTTAAAACTAATACAGTGGACCCCCGGTTCGCGAAGTCATCGATATCCGATAAATCCAGTATCAAAAGCATTGTATCACAAAAAATTTGCCTCGGTTCCCGTTACAAAACCCGGTATGCGATACGATTCGTACGAGATGTGTCCATGTGTGGCCTGAACTGCCCCATGTGTGCCAGTGTTTACAAGCCAGCCAGTGTGCGCGCATATAAGAATGCACTTGGTACATTCCATATTATCCATATTATCGCTGTTTTTGGTGCTTGTTTCTGCAAAATAAATCACCATGGGCCCCAAGAAAGTTTCTAGTGCCAACCCTGTGGTAAAAAGGGTGAGAATTAGTATGGAAATTAAGAAAGATTTTGAAGGGTTTGGGGCTAACCCTGAGAAGCCTATGCCAGTTGTGGAATCCATTGTGCCTACTTCAAAAATTAAGGAAATGTGTGCACAGTGGGTTGAACTGCAAACCTTTATGGATGAAAATCACCCTAACACAGCTATTGCAAGCCGTGCTGGTGGCTATTACACTGACAATGTTGTGAACCACTTTAGGAAAGTCATAAAGGAACGAGAGGTACAGGCCTCTATGGACAGATATGTTGTGCAACATTAGTCCAGTGACTCTCAAGCTGGTCTTAGTGGCATTAACCCTTAAATGGTCCAAACGTATATATACGTTTTTTCAACATCTGAAAGTATGTAAAAAATGTAGATTTTTTTTTGTTTTACATGTGAAAATGTGTAAAAAACTTTTATCAACATTTTTTTTTGTTATATTTGAAAATATGTAAAAAAAAGTAGATCTACTTTTGTAGCACTACGAATTTGAACGTCGATCTGTTTGGACTGTTTAAGGGTTAAAAGAAGAAGGGAAGTAACCCTGGAAAAGGATTTGCTACCTCAAGTCCTAATGGAAGGGGATTCTCCTTCTAAACATTAAAAACTTCGACATTCTCCCCTCCTCCCATCCTATCAATCATCACCAGATCTTCATTAAAGGTAAGTGTCAATTATTCTATTGTGATTATTCTATTGTTATTATTGTTACTGTAATTATTCTATTGCATTAAACTTAATATTTCATGTGGTAAAAGTTTTTTTTTCATACTTTTGGGTGTCTTGCACGGATTAATTTGATTTTCATTATTTCTTATGGGGAAAATTGATTCGCTTTCCGATAATTTTGCTTTACGATGAGCTCTCAGGAAAGGATTAATAACGTGAACCGGGGGTCCACTGTAATGCATTAATTAACTGATTTCTTGTATATACGATGTCTAAGAATTACAGTGAACTTTAAATAAGGCTGTAATTAATGCCAACCATAGATCATGTGTGTGTGTGTTACTTGGTAAGTCGGAATGATCGAGTGAGCACCATATGGTTTGAACAGTAACTGGATGGGTGACTGCATGCACAGCCTCAGGGGTCCACATGGCAAGAAGAGAATCTGGCAAAGGTCAGGAGATAACACGCAACAGTAATGCCAAGTTTTCTCTTTGTCTTCCATATAAAATATTACACAAATTCTATATAAATCAAACTCTTATGTAGCTCCTTAATTTATAGTTTGTTTTGTAAAGTCAGTGCGTGATCGATGACTGTCTTATTTCCATTGGGGTCCTTTAATCTTGCCCACAGGATGCCACCCACACCAGTCAACTAACACCCAGGTACTTACCGCTAGGTGAACAGGAACAGCAGGTGTAAGGAAACGTGCCCGGCATTTCCACCTGTATCGAGGATCGAACCACGGACACTCAGTGCGTGAGGCAAGAGCATTGCCAACCAGGCCACGGGACAATGTGCAGAGTATTCGCCCACCTATATTTACTCAGCTATATGTAGGGTACTTCCCCACCTATGTGTAATCAGTTGTATGTAGGGTACTTACCCACCTATATTTACTCAGCTGTATGTAGGGTACTCACTTATAGTACCTATATATACTCATCAATATGTAGTTGCACAGTCATTCAACTATAATAAAACATTTTTGTCAAAAAGTTGTTGATTTAGAACAAAATTGTCCAGGCCCGTGGCCTGATAGGCAAAGCTCTCGTTTCACATGTGTTCGATCCCCGGCATGGGTGGAAACATTGGACGTGTTTACCTGGAGTATACCTGGAGAGGGTTTTGGGAATCAATGCCCCCGTGGCCCGGTCTGTGACCAGGCCTCATGGTGGATCAGGGCCTGATTAACCATGCTGCTACTGTTGGCCACACGCAACCCGACATACGAACCACAGCCCGGCTGGTCAGGTACTGAATTTAGGTGCCTGTCCAGTGCCTTCGTGAAGACAGCCAGGGGTCTGTTGGCAATCCCCCTTATGTATGTTGGGAGGCAGTTGAACAGTCTTGGGCCCCTGACACTTATTGTGTTGTCTCTTATCGTGCTAGTTGTGCCCCTGCTTTTCATTGGGAGATGTTGCATCATCTGCCGAATCTTTTGCTTTCATAGGGAGTGATTTTCATGTGCAGATTTAGTGTTAATCCTTCAAGGATTTTCCAAGTGTATATAATCATGTATCTCTCCTGCCTTCTAGGGAGTACAGGTTAAGGAACTTTAAGTATTCCCCGTAATTGAGGTGTTTTATCACAGTTATGTGTGCCGTGAAGGTTCTCTACATTTTCTAGGTCAGCAATTTCACCTTCCTTGTAAGGTGCTGTTAGTGTGCAGCAATATTCCGGCCTAGATAGAACAAGCGACCTGAAGAGTGTCATCATGGGCTTGGCCTCCCTAGTTTTGAAGGCTCTTATTATCCATCCTGTCATTTTTCTAGCAGATGCGATTGATACAATGTTGTGGTCTTTGAAGGTGAGATCCTTTGACATTATCACTCCCAGGTCTTTTACATTAGTTTTTCGCTCCATTGTGTAGTTGGAATTTGTTTTATACTCCGATACAGTTTTAATTTCCTCATGTTTTCCATATCGGAGTAATTGAAATTTCTCATCATTGAACTTCATAGTGTTTTCTGTGGCCCATTTAAAGATTTGGTTGATGTCTGCCTGGAGTCTTGCAGTATCTTCAGTGGAGGACACTGTCATGCAAAGGAAGACACGGGGCTGTGGCTTACATCCCTGTCTGTGTCAGATATGAGGATGATGAACAGGATGGGAGTGAGTACTGTGCCTTGTGGAACAGCTTTTTGCCATAGCCACCTTTACTCTGTTTACTACTACTCTTTGTGTTCTATTTTTTAGGAAATTATAGATCCATCTACCAACTTTTGCTGTTATTCCTTTATCACGCATTTTGTGCGCTATTACACCATGGTCACACTTGTCAAAGGCTTTTGCAAAGTCTGTGTATACTACATCTGTGTTTTGTTTGTCTTCTAGAGCATCCAGGACCCTGTCATAGTGGTCCAATAGTTGGGACAGACAGGAGCAACCTACTCTAAACCCATGCTTCCCTGGGTTGTGTAACTGATGAGTATCTAGATGGGTGGTGATCTTGCTTCTTAGAACCCTTTCAAAGATTTTTATATGGGATGTTAGCGCTATTGGTCTGTAGTTCTTTGCTATTGCTTTACTGCCCCCTTGTGGAGTGGGGCTATGTCTGTTGTTTTTAACAGCTGTGTTTCCGTAAACTTGTTGTCCTGTTCACCTAGCAAGCATGTACCTGGGTGTAAGTGGATTGGTGTGGGTTGCATCTTGGGGGACAAAACTGAGGACCACAGTGGAAATAAGATAGACAGACAGTCCCTCAATGACGCACTGACTTTCTTGGGTTACTCTGAGTGACTGACCCTCCGGGATTAAAAATCCGAACAAAATCTTATAGCCAAAAGATATCTTCTGTAAGCAGAAAATAACGCTGAATTCTGAGCTACGTGAATTGATCCTTGAATCAGCGGTATTTTAAGAACAAATTATAATAGAAAAACGTGTGCATTTCAGGTACTGGAGAGATCATGTGTGGTAGTTGACGGTGTGAATGTCTCCCTCCGTTTGTGGGACACCTTTGGGGACCATGACAAAGATCGACGCTTCGCCTATGGCAGGTAAGCCTATAAATGTACGAAGATTATGTGTAGTGGGTTGTGTGTAGTGGGTTATGTGTAGTGAGTTGTGTGTAGTGAGTTGTGTGTAGTGGGTTGTGTGTAGTGGGTTGTGTGCAGTGGGTTACGTGTAGTGGGTTGTGTGCAGTGGGTTACGTGTAGCGGGTTGTTTAGTTGGTTATGTGTAGTGGGTTGTATGTAGTGGATGCTGTGTCATATCTTACAGACTTTTAAACTGTTTAAGCTACTGCGTACTGCAAATGTTTTTTTCTACTACTGTATTAAATATACAGGTCTCCCTCAACATTCGCAAGGGTTAGGGGATCAAGAGCCTCGCGAATGTTGAAAAACCGTGAATGTTTGGTGCCCCAATATATTGTAGGGAAATATATTACAATACTGCCACCCTGCCTTGATGGGAATAGGCCAGTTTGATAATAAAAAAAAATACTGCTTCTTTAACTTGTTGAACCATGAATAATCATAAAATACATGAAAATGCCGTAAATTGTACTAAATATATACATGTTATGCTTTAATAACGTATGTTATTTAATAACATGTATGTTAATAACATGTATGTTATTAAATACCACAGACTCCACCACTGCCTCCACCACTGCGAGTCCCTACTACCCTCCCTCCGACCCCCACAACTGGCAGCCAGCCCTCCCACCACTCAGTGTGGTGAGTGTTTTGTTTGTTCATTATTTGCTATTAAACTACAGAATAAATAATGTAAACTCATCCATGACTGCATATTGGAATGGCTATTAGGAAAGGTATTAGACGGTGACATCATGTGTTTACTCTTGAACACAGCAAAGAATCGAACATTTCTGCTATTGCTAATAATAACAATAGTAATAATAATAATAATAATAATAATAATAATAATAATAATAATAATAAATACGATATAATTGAAGAAGGAAATTGTACAAAAATACGAGGGAGTGGTTGACACATCGTCAGTGTGACTTTGTTTATGCTGGAGTGAACATTAGTCTCCCTGCTCTTCCAAACATTTCACAATAATTCAGCGGTTGAGGCAGTGGTATTTAATAACATATATGTTATAAATAATAATAGTACATGTTATTATTGATAACATGTATTATTATTAACATGTATGTATTTAATAACATATATGTTATAAATAATAATAGTACATATTATTAATAACATGTATTATTATTAACATGTATGTTATTAAATGCCATTGCCTCAATCACTGCCTCTACCACTCCAGTCACACTCAATCTACAAGCACCAAACACAATGAATTATTGTGAAATGTTTGGAAGAGCAGGGAGACTAATGTTCACTCCAGCATAAACAAAGTCACACTGGTGATGTGTCAACCACTCCCTCATATTTTTGTACAATTTCCTTCTTCAATTATATCGTATTATTATTATTATTATTATTATTATTATTATTATTATTACTATTGTTATTATTAGCTGTAGCAGAAATGTTTAATTCTTTGCTGTGTTCAAGAGTAAACACATGATGTCACCGTCTAATACCTGTCCAAATAGCCATTCCAATATGCAGTCATGAATGGGTTTACATTATTTATACTGTAGTTTAATAGCAAATAATGAACAAACAAAACACTCACCACACTGAGTGGTGGGAGGGCTGGCTGCCAGTTGCGGGGGTTGGAGGGAGGGTAGTAGGGACTCGCAGGTGGCGGGAAACTTAAATATGATTTGGCGGTTGGGAATTCGCGAATGTGTGAAGCCCGTGAAAGTTGAAAACGTGAATGTTGAGGGAGACCTGTACTATGCCACTAATTGCATTTGGTATAATTGTTTCATCGTTTGGCCTGGTATACAGTACCAACATGATGATGACACATGTGCAACATCTGGGTATCTTTACTTTATAGATGTTTTGTCATCCATAGGCTTAATCAGTATAATATGTGGACATAATGTGAAGACTATAAATATATACAGAAGACAGTAGAAGTCGAGGTAATCAGTCCCTCAGCCCAGGAGCATGTGATGAGCACTATAGTCTTGAATTATTATTATTATTATAATCAAGGGGGAAGCGCTAAACCCGGAGGATTTTACAGCTGTAGTCTTGAAGAATCTGAAACATCAGTTTTCCTGCCTGTGCTTTAGATTCTTCAAACTAATAAACAAATTTTATTTCCTTGCAAGATTACATTGAGATTATGAAATTATAGAAATGAGTTAAGATAAGATAAGATAAGATTTCGTTCGGATTTTTAACCCCGGAGGGTTAGCCACCCAGGATAACCCAAGAAAGTCAGTGCGTCATCGAGGACTGTCTAACTTATTTCCATTGGGGTCCTTAATCTTGCCCCCCAGGATGCGACCCACACCAGTCGACTAACACCCAGGTACCTATTTGCTGCTAGGTGAACAGGACAACAGGTGTAAGGAAACGTGTCGAAATGTTTCCACCCCGCCGGGAATCAAACCCGGGCCCTCCATGTGTGAAGCGGGAGCTTTAGCCACCAGGCCACCGGGCCACCTACAGTACAAAGAGAGCCACTATCATGCCTAGGCATTATGGGCAGACTTAATTTAATGGCTTACAGACTACTTAATACTAAAGAAATTGATCATAGTTTGTTCAAGTTGTATGTCTCTCTTTATTTATGTAGACAGTAATTTTACTCAAATTGCAGTAGTTTCACAAATAAATATTGAAATTATATTATGGGAATATAACATTGTGAGTTGTTGAAAGTAGTTTACAGTATAGAATGCTACAATTGGGTGTAAGGCAGTATTGTTTTGGGTAGGTATTTATACTACAATGTAGTAAGTATTAATCAATGAATGAACTTTGGGCATCTAGTTTTGAAGTTTTAAAATTTAGGTAATTGGGAGATTTTTTGGTAAAGTTAAATATTGAGTACTGTATTTAGTTTAGGGGGAGTAGGTGGTTTTTGAGAAGAGTCTTAAATTGATGTTCAGACCGGGTTACTTTAGTATTTACTGGTAATGACTTCCAAATTTTGGGGCCCGAGATTACAGTACTCATCACCTGTCCCTAGTGAGGGACTGATTACCTTGCCTTCCACTGCCTTTGTGTATATTTCTAGTCTTCACATTATGTCCATCTATAATAATAATATTATATTTCTACAAGTACATGTACAAGGTATACAGGCCTAGTTGACATCAATGACCTATTACTAATAGAAAGCCCCTTGTTATGCAGAGCATTTCAGGCAAATTAGGTCAATTTTGTCCCAGGATGCAACCCACACCAGTCAACTAACAACCAGGTACCCATTTTACTGATGGGTGAACAGGGACAGCAGGTGTTTTATGGAAACACATCCTGATGTTTTCCAGCCATATCGAGGGATCAATCCCCAGACCTCAGTGTGTGAGCTGAGTATGCTAGCAATAGCAATTGAGCTACAGGACACCATAGCGATCAAGCCACAGGAATTGTCTATAAAGATACCTAGATGTTGCACATGTGTCTGATTCATCATTGAGTATGCTCATGCTGTCAGTTCTCAGCTGAAAGGGCATCTCTTTCCTTGAGCTTATGATAATACTGTTACTCTTGAATATAAACTTCAGTACTATTGCTTCATCTTCACTGTTGTTTCATTTAAGGCTTCATTCATGAGTGCATGCATATTTCTTGAAATAACAGGCTCTCAAGAGTGGCAAAAATCCCAAATTGTTTCTCATTACAGGTCGGACGTGGTCCTGCTTTGCTTCTCAGTGGCAAATCCAGTGTCTTTACGGAATTGCCGGGTGATGTGGTATCCGGAGATTCGACGGTTTTGTCCTAATACACCAATACTTCTCGTAGGATGCAAAAATGACCTTAGATATATCTGCAAAGATGAACAGTACCTCAGTTACTGTCAAGATCGATCACCTCTGGTTAGGTAAGTGACTGTATACTGCACTCTTTATTTATCTGCTGAGGTGAGTCACAGAAACTGCCATGAGAATATCTCTTTGACACAAGTTTTTAAATGTATACTATTTGTATCATAAATTGTACTACCTCATATTAATAATAGAGTAAAATATTGAATATTTGAAATTTGCCACTTTTTACTTGTCCAGCTTAAGTAGTCTTTAAGTATTAGGTTAATTCTGTCTGAAATGCCTTGGCATCATTGTGGCTTTCTTTGTACCAATCAGATTATGAAATGTAAACACATCATAACCTTTGTAACTTTTTTTTTTGTTTGTTATATTGTACCAGTGTTATATAACATAAGACCCCATGTGCAGTACTGTACTAGGACATTTGTTGTGATGTTTCACTCAAGAGAACTTTTACAATCAGTTGACCGTTGGATAACACAATAGTTATGTTCCTGAAAACAGCTTGTAATAAAAACTGTGTGCGAGCTGAACGTAAGAACATATGGGGAAAATAAGGTTATGTTCATTACACCAACCAACAGTTTTATAGGTCTCAAAATTGGTAAAAAACAATGATAAGGTACTGTATATAAGTAAGTTTATTCAGGTATACACAAATACAGTTACATAGATTATCATACATAGCAGCATATGTATAGAGAACCTAGGATAACCAAAAAAAGTCAGACAGACTGACTTATTTCCATTGGGTCCTTTTACCTTATTATTATAATCTTTCAACAAACCGGCCGTATCCCACTGAGGCAGGGTGGGCCAAAAAAAGAAAAACAAAAGTTTCTCTTTTTAAATTTAGTAATTTATACAGGAGAAGGGGTTACTAGCCCCTTGCTCCCGGCATTTTAGTAGCCTCTTACAACACGCATGGCTTACGGAGGAAGAATTCTGTTCCACTTCCCCATGAAGGTAAGAGGAAATAAACAAGAACAAGAACTAGAAAGAAAATAGAAGAAAACCCAGAGGGGTGTGTATATATATATATATGTTTGTACATGCATGTGTAGTGTGACCTAAGTGTAAGTAGAAGTAGCAAGACATACCTAAAATCTTGCATGTTTATGAGACAGAAAAAAGGACACCAGCAATCCTACCACCATGTAAAACAATTACAGGCTTTCATTTTACACTCACTTGGCAGGACGGTAGTACCTCCCTGGGCGGTTGCGTCTACCAACCTACTACCTAGGTATTATTATAATATAAAGGTTATAATATTTTCTTATTATTCTATAATGAAGATAACATATTATTATTATACTAAAAAGACTATACTACACGAGGGTCATTAAGACTACAATACGAGGGTCATTACTAGGAATAAGGTAAAATTACATGTGTGTTAGCTAAAAAATAAAAAATCATTCCCCTCCCTTTCTGTAGCTACATTTATCATCAGACACCTTTTGGCATTCTTCTTGAACTGGTTCATGCTATGACTGGCTTTGACATGTGCGGGCATTCTATTCCATTCCTTTATTGCTGTACAATGAAAGGTGTTTGAAGCCTGGCCACTGACTGTGAGTACTACAAAGTTGTGCTCTCTCCCCCTAGTACTATGATTGCTTTGGTTCCCAACCTTGACAAAATTGACAGCAAGATTTTCTGGACACTGTTTGTGAGCAATTTTATAAACATGATTTAGCTTCAGTTGTTTTACTTTGTCTTCAACATTCAGCATATCCAACTGCTGTAATTCATTCTGGCCTACATGTTCTCTTGGACCCAGGCCCAGGATGAATCTTACAATTTTGTTCTGGGTGATTTGCAGTCTATCTTTCAGTTTTTTTGTCAAGGCAGAGTACCATGAAGAGCAAGCGTAATCCATATGACACTGTATAAGGGCTAGACATAGGGTCCTGTGAGCCTCAGTAGGTAGACACTGTGTTTGTCTATAGAGGAACTTCAGTTTGTCATTCGCTTTCTTTACTACACTGTTCCCTATCAATTCTCCTGACATGCATGGGTCAAGGGGATTCCCAGATATTTTACTGATGAAACCAAAGTGATGGGCTCCCCATTACATTGGACATTAAAATTATTTACCCTTCTCAGTTTATGTTTCATGCCAAAGAGAATGACTTCAGTTTTCCTGAGGTGTAATGATAGTTTATTGTCTACTAACCATTTGCTGCAGGACTCCAGTTCCAGTGTTAATACATTAGCATATACTCGTCGGTCTTTACCTGACACTAACAGAGCACTGTCATCTGCATGCAGTAGGAGTTTGCACTTGACACTGATAGGCATGTCATTGACATAGCTTAAAATAATAAGGGGCCCAGATACTACCTTGGGGAACTCCACATGCTACGGCAGGGGTTCTGATCCCGTTTTGTTGATTTGACAATTTGTCTCCTGTTGCTAAGGTAGGACTTAAACCAGTCTACTGAACCTTACCAATAGCTGAAGTTTCTTACATAATATGTTGTGGTGACAGTATCGAAGGCGTTTTGCAGGTCTAAGGTTACATACCTATGAGGTTCCCATTGACATTTCAGTTCTCAGGTATCCATCAGATTAATTAGGGAGATGTCGGTTGAGTAAGATCTTCTAAATCCCATTGGTACTATGGAGAATGTTGTTATCATTAAGGTACTTAACTACTTGACAGTACACTGCTCTCTCTATAATTTTGATATTATATTGAGTATACTACAGGCCTACTACTATTTTTTTGAAAATAGGAGTAACTCTGCCTCTTGAATCCCTCTGGTATGGTATTAGTGGTGATTGACAGATTATTATGTGAGCATGGGGAAATTGACAGTTCAGAACACCATCTTTTAGAACTTAGACTGCATGTTATCCAGGACAGTGCTCTTAGTTGGGTTTAACCTGGTTAGTTCTTTTTGAATAAAGTCATGAGATACAGTGGACCCCCACCTTACAATATTAATCCGTTCCAGAGAGCTCATTGTATGCTGAAATTATCGTAAGGTGAATTAATTTTCCCCATAAGAAAAAATGGAAATCAAATTAATCCATGCAAGACACCACAAAGTATGAAAAAAAAAATTTTTTTACCACATGAAATATTAATTTTAATACACACAAACTGACACTTACCTTTATTGAAGATCTGGTGATGATTGATGGGATGGGAGGAGGGGAGAGTGTGCAAGTTGTTAATGTTTAGAAGGGGAATCCCTTCCATTAGGACTTTAGGTAGCACTATCTTTCCAGGGTTACTTCCCTTCTTCTTTTAATGCACTAGGACCAGCTTGGAGTCACTGGACCTCTGTCACACAACATTTCTGTCCATAGAGCTCTGTACCTCTCGTTCTTTTATGATTTGTCTAAAGTGGTTCACAACATTGTCATTGCAATAGTCGCCAGCACAGCTTGCAATAGCTGTCTGAGGGTGATTTTCATCCATAAAGGTTTGCACTTCAAGCCACTTTGCACACATTTCCTTAATCTTTGAAGTAGACAACTTCTTCAATTTCTCCCTCCCCTCCTCTGAAGCAGTTTCCTCAGGTCTGGCCTCTTGCTGTTGAAGATGATCTTGCAGCTCATCAGTGGTTAGTTCTTCATTGTCCTCCTCCATCAACTCTTCCACATCTTCCCCACTAACCTCCAACCCCAAGGACTTCCCCAATGCCACAATTGGCATACGCTTCTCAGAGTTAGCCTCAAATCCTTCAAAATCCCTTTTGTCTACACATTCTGGCCACAGTTTCTTCCAAGCAGAGTTCAAGGTCCTCTTAGTCACTTCCTCCCAAGCCTTACCTATAAGGTTTATACAGTTGAGGATATTAAAGTGATCTTTCCAAAACTCTCTTAGAGTCAATCGAGTGTCTGAGGTCACTTCAAAGCACTTTTGAAACATAGCTTTTGTGTAGAGTTTTTTGAAGTTTGAAATGATCTGCTGGTCCATGGGCTGCAGGAGAGGAGTGGGATTAGGAGGCAAAAACTTGACCTTAATGAAGCTCATGTCCCCAGAAAGTCGCTCTCCCAAGTCTGAAGGATGACCAGGAGCATTGTTTAATACCAGGAGGCACTTAATGTCCAATTTATTTTCCATTAGGTAATTTTTCACATTGGGGGCAAATGCATAGTGTAACCAGTCATAGAAAAAGTCCCTAGTGACCCATGCCTTAGTGTTTGCCCTCCACAGCACACACAAATTAGCCTTGAGGACATTGTTGTGCCTGAACACTCTAGGAGTTTCAGGGTGATACACCAATAAAGGCTTCACTTTGCAATCACCACTAGTATTGGCACACATCAAGAGAGTAAGCGTGTCTTTCATAGGCTTATGTCCTGGGAGTGCCTTTTCCTCCTGAGTAATGTAGGTCCTGTTTGGCATTTTCTTCCAAAACTGGCCTGTTTCGTCACAATTAAACACTTGTTCAGGTTTCAGTCCTTCACTGTCTATGTACTCCTTGAATTCCTGCACATATTTTTCAGCTGCTTTTTGGTCGGAACTGGCAGCCTCACCATACCTTATCACACTATGTATGCCACTACTATTCTTAAATCTCTCAAAACCAACCATTGCTGGCCATAAATTCACTCACATCACCACTAGTTGCAGGCATTTTTCTAATTAATCCTCATGCAGCTTCCTAGCCTTTTTCACATATGATCGCTTGAGAGATGCTATCTCCATGCTATCTGTTTTTGTTTATCCACACCAATAACAGTCTCTCAACATCTTCGAGTACTTGCGATCTCTGTTTTGAAAACAAAGTTGCACCTTTTGCAAGAACAGCTTCCTTGATTGTCGTTTTGTTGGCCACGATAGTAGCGATGGTTGATTGGGGTTTGGTATACAACCTGGCCAGCTCCGAGACACGCACTCCACTTTCGTACTTAGCAATTATCACTTTCTTCATTTCGATAGTAATTTTCACCTTTTTTACCACACGGTTGGCACTAGAAGCTTTCTTGGGGCCCATGGTGACTTATTTTGCAGGTACAATCACTAAAAATGCTGTGGTAATATGAAATGTACCGATTGTATGCATGGATAGGATGCGACCACACTGGCTGGCTTGTAAACACTGGCACCCACGGGGCAGCTGAGGTGCGCTCAGGCCACACATGGGACGCGTCCCAGACTGGGACGAATCGCGTGAGGCGAGGCAAAATTTTTGCGTTAAAATGTATCGTATGGCCGATTTAACGTAACGCGATGCCATCGTAAGGTGCAGGTCCACTGTAGTTGACAACTGTTTGGGGTTACCCCTT